TGTTGGAATACCGGTCTTGACAGATGTATGAAATTCTCATATATAATACCCCAAGAGAAAACATTTTGTTGGCAAAATTTTTGACTGGTATGAAAGTTTGTTGCTTGGCAATTGGCGAATGACATTTTTGACAAAACCACGAGCCGTCAGGCGAGTGGTTTTGTCAAAAATGTCATGAGCGAAATTACCAAAAAGAAACAAACTTGAATAAAACCAAGAGAATAATTTTGCCTACATAATTTTTGCTTAAGTGGTATTCGGCTGGACTATTTCACGAGAGAAACAAGCCAAATTTTCATTTGGAAACTTTATTTTCTTTAGGTGTCATTTGTCAAACTCAATAGTTTTTTACATTCCACACAAAATTTTGTCGCTGAAAAACCATCATGTTGGTTTTGTCAGTAGGAAACTGGCCGTTCCTATGACATTTTGCCAGTGTAAAACACTCTATGGTTCATTTTTTCCCAAGATAAATTTTGACATTGAAAACTTTGGAATATAAACAATACCGCTTGGCTCTAAATCGTCGCAAAATGAGGTGTCCCTGCAGGTTGACAAAGCATGTCGTGCAAATGACCATTTTGCGACCAATAGACGGCATTAGCGGCATTGTTTATGTTTCAAAGTTGACAATGTCAGAATCTATCTTGGGAAAAAATAAACTGTAGGTAGTGAAATAGTCAATAAAAAATTTCTTTTCCAGCTACTGATTTGTTTTATGTAAGAACATTTTGGTAGCTCCCATCAAAAGCCAAGTAGTTATGAATGCAGAAGAAAAAAAAAATACATATAAAGCTGTAAAAATATGTCACAACAGATAATAATAATTTTGTACCTCTATTTCATCTTTTATGTAAATTTATTTATTTTTTCTAAGGGAAAATCCCAAAACTGACTCCATTTACCAGCATGTAAATATAACTCGGAGCCGTAGAAAGAACCGAAAAAGCCCCCCGAGCAATAAAAGCTATAAAAGTTGTCCGTTTGATTTCCATAACAAAGGCAATTCAGCCAGATATTGGTCGACAAAGGAAATTGTCTTGTTAGCCTAGGATATAGTTGGTCGAGGTCCCTGAGGTGGAATATAAACGCTCAAAAATGGAGATTAGAGGCGGATATACCTTTATTGGGGGGTCTCTCTATTCTTGACAAGGGATGGTGTTATTTTTTTAGGGCGCACACTTTTGTCTTGGCCAAGGGAAAATTTATTTGAACGTATTTATATTTTTATTGTTTTCTGTATTTTCGTCGTCCTTTTATGGCTAAAAGGATAAAGTATTTTTATTATTAGTTCTCTTGAAAGTTATACCCTTATATGGCCATTTTACGACATGCATTATGGAAATCTTTATATAATAAAAATTACTTTTTGTAAGGTTGTCTGAAATGAAAATCGGGGAACAATCTTCTACGAAATCCAATCTGTTGGAATTAATTACTCCAACAATTGTTGTATAATAAATTCAGGTTTGACTTATTCACTACTTATTCGATACATTTTTATTTGAAAATTCTGTAATGAAATTGATATTGAGTGATGCGATAATTTTGTCAAGGAATTGATATAAATAAACGATTTTAACGAGTGGGAAGAGTAAGTAATCAAAAAAAGGTGAGCAAATGTTTGCCTAAATTGATGCCCCCTTTAACAAATTCAACAAATTTCTCAAATTTCTTCTGATTGTGCAAAGATGGGGGAGCGTTTTTGAAATGATCGTTTGTTTGTTTCTTTATTAAAAGAGTAAAGATTTGAGGAAAAATCTAGCAAAAAGGCGTCGTTCATTCAAATTGATTCGAACAAAATCTTGTAATAATTTTCCAGGGAATTGGGAGAAGGATTTTTTGTGTGTTTCAAGTTTTTATTTATTTTTTTTTGCGCCAATCAACTGTAATGCGTTAATTTTCATCCGATTTCAGTGTAAGTGAGCTCCAATTGAAACCAGTCAATCTCTTTACATTTCTTCTCTTAATTTCTGTATTTTTCCGTCTCAATTTTTGTCTATTCCCGGCTCTTGAATTGTTCCTTCTAAATATCTCTAGATAAAGAAAATTCAAGAGCTTGGAATAGAAACAACATACTTTAGTCTACTCATCTACTCGATTTTCTGCTTTTCAATTCTCAAAAGTTTTCTGTCTAAATTTTTGTCTATTGCTGGATCTTGAATTGTTTATTTCTATATATTTCTACATAAAGAAAATTCAAGAGCCTAGAATAGAAACAACATATAGGTACTTAAGTCTACTTATCTACTCCATTTTCCCTTAATGTCTCTGCCTTTCAACTCTCAAATTTTTGTCTATTGCCGGCTCTTCAAGAGCCTCTTAGTAATACATGTAAGAGACGGTTTATTCGCTTTCTAATGAACTGTCAGGTAATGCAATCTGACGGATAAAAACGCAATATGTAATCCCATTGGTCAACCAATTATCCAGTGACCAACTGGATTGTAGATCTGTAAATTTATCTTGCAGATAGTTGCCAGCAAGTTTATCTCAAGATAGATAAACCGGGCCTAAAATAGAGAACATTGGATGTTAGCGAATACAATTGTCAATTTCAATACAAAAACAGATCTGGGAAACAATCGTCTGATCCAAATCCATTCATTTAAAATGTTGGAAGATGTTTTCCAGCAAGTCTTTTCTTCTATTCCAACAAACATCCTAAGCAGCAAAGGTTAGTGGACTTTTATTTGATCATAACATGAACCAACAAGCTATTTATATCACAAGTACATAAAGTAAGGCTTTATTGCACAAATAAATTTATTATATAATGAGTCAAAAAAGCCTGTTTATGTAAGCGTGATATAGGTACATGATTTTATGTACGATTGCGAATGGTTTTTGTTGAAAATTAAAAAAATTTAATGAAAAAATTAAAATTCGTGTAGGTATACCTGTTTCACCTTGGCAGGTTGTCAGGACCTGTTTCACCTTGGCAGGTTATCAGGTAGTCCAGGTAGGCAATAAAGTAGCACTTTATTTTACTAGTACAATAAAGTGCTACTTTATTGACGCTAAACTGTTCCATGAATAGCACTTTATTGGTCAATCGGACATAAAACTTTTATTCATTATCTACGACCTTGTCAGAAAGTGACATTTTTCTCAATCATTCATAAGAGTTTTTCTTTTTGGAAAATCATCGACGAAGGTAGAGTTAGGTTGTAAATCGGAGATAAATTGGAATTACCTATTTTCTATTTAGAATTCTGAGAGCTGAAATCAAACTCGGGGTCAAGTTTAATCGAAAAATTTCTTAGTTAAAAAGGTAAAACTTAACCCTGATTAATCTAAAGTGCGCTAAGAATAGTTTGAAATCTCACTGAAAAAAGGCATGAAAGAACAACCAGAACTAGATGACATAATATAGAGATCTACGAACAATTTTTAGAAGAAGCTCACTGATGAAGGATGATATTTTTTTTTGAGCAAGTAAGGGCTTACAGTGCTTCCCTTCAACAACATAATAATTGATATGATTTCAACGGTTTCCTATTTTTTGGTTCACAAATTGGGGTGCATTAAAATAAATGTACCATTCACCACCGAACAAAACCGGAGCTCAATAAAACCAAAACCATTCCGAAATTAATATTCAATTTGTGCAGTTTAAACCAGTCATGCATTAACCCCCGCCCGAAATAAATCATCCCTCGGAAAAAGCTGCGACCTGCACACAGGTATTTCATTCGGAACGTAAAATATCACACCCGCGCGGGGTTAATATTTATATTACGCCCCTGGAAAAATATGTGAATCACCCAAAAATCGGATTTGTTGGCCGCGGTAATTTGAGCAAATTTTGCCGGAGGCAAAAAAAAAGTATCACATATACAAGGAAATTCCATTAGGGTAATGTAAATAAGGGCGCGTATTTATTATTTTTTGGTATTTGCGGTCGAGTTTCAAGATTAGTAAGGAAATTTGGGGTGGTTTTCTGTTTCCAGTTTGGAAAGTAATTTCACTGCCTATATTGGATATCATATTTGTTCTTGGGGGGACATCGTTGAAATAATTTCCATTACGTGAGAGAGTTTTGCATTTTTGGACTGAGAAATTTTGATCATTGGACATTGCCTCACAAAATCGCTCAGGACTTGATTAATATTTTATTTGCAATCATATATGTAATCTTGTCATTACTGACTTTTTAAAAATTTGGAAGTGACACTTTACGTGTGTCACTTCCCTCTTCGATTTCCCTCACCGATTTCCCTATTCGACTTCCCTCACCGATTTCCCTCACTCTAATTTATTTACCTTTGCTGGCAACAATGAGAACATGTCAGGTAAAAACGTCAAAGCAGTGAATGACACATTTTGGCATGTTTGTTTTATTTTTTCAATATTAAAAAAATTGATTGACTAATCATAATTAATGGTGTGCTTGCAAATAAAATAGTATACAAACCTCGGAGGAAAGTTTTCATTTCTGTCTCGAGATTAATAGTCAATCTCGACGCTTCGCGTCTCGATTGACTATATAAATCTCTCGACAGTAATGAAACACTTCCCTACCCGGTATGTAATATACTATTACAAATTCAATATTCTCAATCAAAATGAAATGTTATTTAAGATAAAATAAAATTGAATCGTTTATCTCGAATAGTTTTTGAGATGTTGAGCCTCAAAGTTGAAACTTTGTCTCAAATTTTTGAAAACCTTCATAACCGATTATCTCGAAAATGAGCCCCAATCAAAATTCACAATTGGACAAAGTTTTGTGCTGATAGCTTCTCTGATTTTCAAAATATGCCACTTAATATATTTGAAAATGAAATTTCCTTGCTCTTTGGAAAAAGTTCAAATTTGATTTAAACTCGTGCACTATGTGCACTCGTGCTCTTTTTCAACTAAAAATACATTCGGGCAAATTTCCCAAAAATTATCGATAATTTCCATTGCACTCGTTATTGATAAATTAATTAAAATTACTGATCTTAATTTCAGGTCTATCAGCAAAGTTTCAGCTTTTGCCCTATTTTTCATAGCAGCTACAGCTAATGCCTTACCCACAGAGCTACAAACACCTACAGAACCTATCCAAAGTACAACCGCAATCACCTACAACCCATTTTCACCAGATTTCAAATGGACTGGCTATAACATTGCAGCAGTTACTACAGGTACAAAAAATTTCCTAACTAATTTCAATGAAACCTAAAAACAAGTAAATTCTAGCTGCTATTGTTGTTGGTACTGGTTTAGCCATCCTCACGACGCTGTTTTTCCCAATGTTCGTCTACAAAATCTGCTACGCTTTGGGAGGCTGTCAAACCACTCTGGATGAGGCTGTAGATCGTTTCCTGGGAGTCCATGGACGTACAAGAAGAATCAAACGGGACACTAGAGATGAAAATATGGATTTTTTTATCGATCTTTTAAAAATGTCTATTAAAGAATATGGAACTCAAAACAAAGCTGTTGTTGAAAGAGAACCATTAAGGGTATGTGTTTTTTTGTGAAGTACATAATTTCTTATTAATTTGTTGTTTTTTTTTTATATAGGAAAACGTAATGAGTCTTACTCCGGACAGGAAAATCGAAAAACGTTCACCAATCGACTACATCGAACCAATTTTGGTTATGCTATCCAGAGCCTACGACGAATATATCAATCCAGAGCTAAAAAAAAACTTCAAGAAACCGCCATCCATAAGATAGCCATTTTAGTGCAGGTTATACCGATTTTCCTCAATACGCTGAGAAGAATGTTTGGATTGTACGAAAGTTTAGTGGGATTTTTAGAGATCTTAGTTAAATTTTACGAAGTGTCTGTTCAGCTTTACCAATAATACATATCAGTGATATTTTAAAATAAATATAGGCTTAGAATATTGTAGTATTAGTGCCAAAATATGTTTTTAGTCTTTTGTATGTAAATGGCGAAATTATTGATATATAACGCCGAGTTCAGTAAAATGTTGCCAACCATCATGTAATTTTAAAATCACCATTGGTATATAGTTAACAACAAATTGAACTCAACAATATGTTCAGTCTATTACTGAACTTTACAGTTGAATAAAATTATGGATTTTTGCAATATGTCAGATTCAATTATATAAATCAAGAATAAAATTGTTGTTTTGTGTTTTCGAAAATTCCCAAACATAATCGTGGTCGAAACATTTACCCGTCCATTTAAACATCAAACAATCAGCATTTTTTTTTCGATATATGGAAATGTTAAACTGACGCACTTGACGCAACACGCGACGCATTGGTAATGGCTTTATGAACTATTTTTTTGTTGTTGAAATATTCAACGAGCTGCATGACACATGCCACAACCGATTCAGGCATTTTAACAATGTGTTTATTATTTTTTATTATACGCATGCATCATAATCAACGATTATCGCTCGCTGCAGCGTGCATAAAATGATGTTTATGATGCGTCTACCTTACAAAGGTTTGCTATAGAAACGTTCGATCTACCTTCATTACCTAGATATTTACCTGCATACCTGCCATTTAAATTACTACTTATCAAATTGAATGAACACTTTTAAAACATTTTTGAGATTATGATGCATTCGTAATAAAAAATAGCGTATGATATGCGTGTATAAGAGGGCATTTAAAGCCCTTGCGACTTACAAAACACTCCGCTGCGCGTCGTGTTTTGAAATATGTCGCGCGTGCTTTAAATGCCCTCTTATACACTTATATCATAATATACTATTACAGTTATCCGGGTGAGTTTTTCTAGTTTATTTCTGTTCCAGCGTATTTGCGTTTACATTTTCCGAATAATATTGATAGAAATTGACAATGTTGTTTTTGATAAAAATGAGCCTTGGATTGATGGAAAGTCGGCATCGTGCTGGAGCAATTTACGTTGACAGCGTCGCCGTATTTCAAAAAATGGCTGATTTGCAGAACCGCCGCTGATGCGATCTGCTTTATACACGTCGAGAACATTTCTGCTGAAAAATGTTTTTGTGTATAACATTACATAGCGCTCATACGTCGCTCTCGTGGTGTTTTTCTCCTGATGTTTTGGCAACGTACGATATTTTTAGGCAACATGCCAATAAGGGTAAAATATAACTTGAGTAGTAATTAATGGGAATTTTTCATCTTTCCCTACAATAGGGTCGTTACCTCCTATTATTAAAATTATACTCACCATTATTTTTCGATATAGTGAGGCCTAAAACTTGGCCATGTCATATTGGTTTTATTGAAAATTGTTTCCTGGATTATTTAAATTAATTTAAAATGTAAACATTTTTTGTCCTTGTCGAATTGTTGGCCTCTTTCTCCCATGACGTCACTAGGCGGGCATGCGCAAAGCAGTTGTAAACAAATCCATCAACATATGCAATTTTGTGAGGTTATGTTGTTTTGTTATTATTTTGGAATGTCGTTGACCCTTGTTATATTTTCATTATTTTTTGAGTTTTTCAACGGGTTTTCCGAGGTTTCAAGAAAAATATTTAAAAGAAACGTGTAATAAATTCAAAGTAAGTCATTGTTTCTCATTATTTGATGTTAAGGTCTCAAATAGAACATGTATTCCAGTTTCAGTATACTCACCTAAGCCCTACCTTCTATTCACTGTTTGGCTATGGATTTTCGTAAATGTTTTGTGCCTTCTTGTAAAAAAAAAAAAGAAAATCTTTATAGCTGTCCCCAAAAATGAATAAATAAGAAGAAGTTGGTGTTTGGCTGTGGAAAGAGTTAATATATTGTCTAGTATTTCTGGTGGAATTTATGCGAAGATCATTTCAATGTAAGTAAACTTAGTTGCCAAATTTCATTTTATAAACACTTATTTTCTGTTTTACATTATTCCAAAAATATGAACATTATATTATGTTTATAGATGGAACAAGATTGTGATAACTAGATGCAGTTTAGGATGACAAACTGCAAATTACTTATGAAGAAAAATGTGGTTCCACATATTTATTTAGGCAGAATCCGAGTTTGTGAAGAAGCTGAATAAGAGAATTGCCAGCTTAGGAATCCATATTGAAAGAGTGATACAAAGATTGTGAGAATTTGCAATACTTGAAGGGCATTCCTGCATTGACCATCAGCTTGTGGCAAAAACTGATTATTTAATAATTATTGCTTGTGGAATAGTGAATTTGCAGGGACCATTGGTCAAATAAATTTTATGTCGAAGCTAGAAAAAAATGCTTTTTTGAATATATTGTATTAAAAAAAATACCTGTTGCTTTTATTACTGCCAAAATAGTACATTATACACCTAGGGACTAAAGTGGTACTTTTAATCCCGAAGGGAGGGCTATAATTTGTTGAGGGATTAAAAAACACTTTAGTCCTGAGATGTATACACTATGTGTGTTTTTTATTCCCTCAACTTTGGAGTACCCTTTTATTCCCTGTTCCATTTACTCCACGGGAAATGAAGTAAAAAGTTAATCCCTTGGAAAATAAAGTGAAATTTAATCTTGGGGATTAAAAGGGTACTTTTAATGCATAAATAATGTGAAGAAGAAAACTACCAGACTCCCAAATCAATCATATATTTTTATTCAAAATAACTGAAAATACATTTTTCTTCGAAAATTCTTCAGCTGATTCAGTAATTACTTTAATAAACCTAATGTTTAAGCACAGCATGTTTAAGTCTAATTCAAAAATTTTCACTTCATTATCCTCTCCAAATTTGGGACTTGCCACACAAAACAGTCCTTTTTGTCATACGCTCCCAAAAACAGCTATTTTACGTACTCATTCAAGTCCGTAAAATACTTTTTTTCAGGATTTTTTTTCTTTCTGGATGCACCTTTATGATTTCAAAAATTAAGGAAATTTTGCAAATTTTAGCGTTCTGAAGAATTCTAAAAAGCGTATGACAAAAAATAGTGTTTGTCACACGTACCTAAAGAAGTTTTTTAGGACTCATCTGCTATTCCGGACTCGGCTGAAAACTTCATTTTAGGTACTTGTGACAAAAATAACTATTTTGTCTGTTACACAATAACATTTGTAACTGAAGTTTGAAGTTGGCACATGTATTTCGTCATTATATTTCCATTTTCCTTAATGTAGTTTTTCACAGTCTCCTTGCTAGGACATTAAACTTCAATGACAAATTCTTTGCTTATTCCATCTGGCGATGCTCCTAACAGAGGATATTCTGCTGTCTCTTTTCAACTGCACATACCCAATAGCATCGTCACAATAACTGGCTATCGCTGACCTAAAAATATATGAAACTATGAAACTATAAAACTGTTACCCTGCTACTAAAAAAGGAATACAATAATGAGCCAAAGCTAAACCAATACAATAATTATGCCAATATTTCACTACCCACCTTTCTGTTTTGACTCCTCTTATTTCTACACCTAAATAATCCGTATTTTTGGCAAAAAACTCTTGCAACATCACATAATTTAGTTCAGGTAAATTTTCGCTGGAGGCTTTAATAAATCCACTATCCATCTTCTCATATAAACCGAACAAATAAACGGGTGAAGTAAGTATTTATTTTTTATTTTATAAATCAACCAGACTAGACAGGCGAATCAAAATAAACAAAATAACTGACATAACCTCCAAAAGAAGACGGGAGATGGGCCAGTTGCAGGGCAGTCAACTAGACAAGTAGGAAATTTTGTCAGTGATGCAAACTTAAATTTAGAAATACAGTGCGCAAGCTCGCCTTGTGACGTCATTACAATTTAAAAAATAACGAATAATAGTAAATTTTCAAATTGAAATATCTCCTTTAATATTATTCTAAAAAATGCGGGAAAAAAACTAAGAATAGTTTTTGATGTGCCTAATTCAATAAAAAAATCATGAAACGACCCTATTGAAAGGTATTATTTTATACCATATATGTTAAAGTTATTTATAGAACGCACTCCTGCAGAAAAAGCTAAGTGGTTGGACTTTGAGAAGCAGAATACAAGAGGTTATGATGAGCAGGAAGAAACTAGAAAAAAAAATATATATATGGCTGCAGCAAAGAACAATTATAATATCGAATTACTAAATGGTAATAATTATGGAGCTTGGAAATTTAAAGTGCAAGAATTACTAGAGGAAAAAGGAGTGGCTAATGATTTAAATATGAATTCTTAGTAATAGTAGATACAATTGATGGAGAAAAAGATAAGAAACAAGACAAGCGCAATGCCAGTCTATAGTGGTCCAGTGTTTGGAAGATGCTCATCTGTATATAATTCGAGATAAAAATAAAGCATGGCAGATTTGGACAGTTTTGAAAGATCGATATGAGAAAAAAGAGCTTCCAGGAGAAATATTTTTGGAACGAAATTTATTAGTTACTTGAGAAACATATTATAGAATTTCAGAATATTCTGAGGCAATTGGATTGCATCAGGTTTTGAATTAAAGGATGAAGACAAAGTATGTAATTTGTTATCATCTTTACCAAAGTCCTATGAGACTATGTGCAATTATTATAAATACAACTGATGTTGAATATGAAGATACAAATAATAAGCATCTGGCAGAATGTGGAAAGAGGATGTTACTTCATAGATATGTGAATAACGGTGGATTGACAACAGCCTTTGTGACGCAAAAATATATCGACAAAAAGTATTATGGATGTGGCTCAACCAATCACATACTTGAGGCGTTTTTGTCCATAAAATAATTGGCAAAACAGTAATAATAGTGGATTAGGCAGTACTTACAATGCACCGAGAAGCAATGATTACAGTAAAAATCTTATACGAAAAGGTTATCAAAATAGAGGTTACAATGTAAGAGAAGGCAAGAGGAAATCCTAATACAAGAGGCTCTGCAAGTGGTTTCAGTTGAAGAAGGGGTTACAGCAGGCCAGCAGGACGAAAGAAGATGGATTTCAAAATAGTGGAAGTAACTTGGCAAAACATGAGTGTTCACATAGAGATGAGTTGAACAGAAACATTTGTTTCTTGGAGAAAACCCAAGAAATGTGAAAGGATTACAGTTTTTTATTGATTCTGGGTGTACCGATCACATGGTCAAGGTTGAAAAATCCGATTTCAGTTGCTCTTACTAAGGACAATGTTTTTTTATTGGCCATGGAAGTTAGAAACA